GTGCTAGGTTATTAGGGGTTGCAGCAAGACGGCAGTGAAGGACGTCGGGAGCCTGAATCGGCAAGGACTCCGTGGGGCTTACATAAAACATGGTTCGCGTTGTGTTGAGAAGACCAAAGATTGGCCTGTAGGGTGATAGTTCAACGCGAATTGCTGGAAGACATGTAGCGGGGATTGTGTCACGGCTTGTGACAAATTTTACAACGGTAGCGATCAGGATTGTCGAATCTGTCTGAAAGCTGGCATGCACAGCACATTCGCATGGGGCGAGTCTGTTTATCCTTTACATCGCACTGGAACACTTCTGGTTTCTTGCAGACGGCGGCAATCCAACAAAATGTTTGATGCCGCTGTTTGATGTTGTAGCACGTAAAAGAGCAAGTAATCGTGGAAGCAAACCCGAAGTACCCACACTTGTTTGTATGTGTCTATTTTGCCAGGATGTTGGGACTTCGTTATTCGGTTTCGTCATATCTAGTCATCCGCTATTATATGAAATATGATGGTATCATGAAGTAGAAGATGTCGTGTGTTCAACATTCAGAACCGCAAAACGTACTGGTTACCAGCCTGAGACCTTCTCACAACGTGTCTTGTGTAAACGGCTGCAAAGCAAACGAATCCGAGGCCGCAAACCCGGCTCGGAGATCGCACCGACATCTGACCGAAGCTTACCCAGAGTCTCAGAGCTTCCCGTTTCCGGTTGCCGCGTTTCTCCTGTTAGAGGTGCACCTCCTGTATCCGCCAGACGATCTCGAGGTTCGGATGCGAGCATCAGAAGATAAGAGTCGGTGCTGGATCTTTGCGAAAGCATTGCCCGTTACATTGTTCCAGGAGCTCATCGCAGGCAGGCATGCGTGGACCAATTTCGCCGCGCACGAACTTGCAGCGCCTTGCTTGCCTTGGCTCCTTGCCCTGACCAGCCATATCAAGTGGTGCCGGATTCATACAGCTGAGGACATGAACCTGACATGGCTGGTCGCCTGTCATGATGAGGTGGTAGCTGGAGCGAAGGCCGAGCAAACGGGCTGTGCCGTTTTTGTTTGTCAGCTGGACGAGCCAAGGTGTTGCACTATCCTGCCACGCATTTCGAGCGGCTTTGGCGAAAGTGGGATGCCCAGCTCTTTCCCGGCCCTCTCCCTCAAGCAGCAACAAGCGCAGGTATCACCATCTCGGCAACTTTCCGTCAATTCGATTTGGTGGAGATCTGGCTTCCCCCCAAGTTCGTCAGAGTGCCCGCATGGGTGCCAGTGTTGCCTTTCTGCGTGTGCAGGTTGTGCCTCCTTCGTTCCACCTCGAGGCACAGCTTCGTGCTGCGAGTGCCCCTGTTGCCACGGCTTGGCCAGCGCCGATTGCAAATCACGTGCGACGTGCGCTTGCTGGATGTTCAAGTTTTTGGCGTCACGCTCAAGGTCCTGGACTGGACATTTGAGAAGTGTTGGTGCATGGTGTGTTCTCGGTGAAATCAATGTCTTGGTCTTTGCATCCAATCCAATCTAAGAAGAAAGCTAAACATCTGCAGCACATTTTCGAACGGACATGACACCTCACAGCTCCAAGTTTTTGGAGCGGCTGCTGTGGAACATCGATGCGTTGAGCTGCGTTGCCATGGCACAGTGCTGTTTGTTGGATCTCCATGACAATGAGCGGCATAACATCGCAAGGGTTGTTACAGGAGGCCACCAGTGTGCGCTTCGACTCCATGTCGCGTCGGAGGGCTATTTGGTGGTGCCTTGCTGAAATGGAACCATTTTGTATTGTGATTGGGCCAGAGTGCGCCCAGCCATGCATAAGCCATGCATGGCCCAAGAAAAGCTACGGTAACTACGTGTCATACGTTTCGGTGGCACTTTCGGCGGAAGGGGTGGGTTATACAAGCACCCCCCCCTTAACATGGTGGCAACCAAGAGGGGGGTTACCTCCACCCCCACCTATTTCCGGGTCGCAGGGCCACCTGTTGTGAGAGGGGGTTGAGAGAACTAGGTGGGAAATGAAGGGTTCAATGTGTCAGCTGCGCTGACTGGAATCTGTATGTCTGAACCTTGTCCTGCGCAGGCATTTTGCCTTGCAAGTGTAGTATCTGTTCTTATCAATGTGACAACTGATACCAACTGGAGCTTGTCACCTCTATTTTTGCTGGGGAAGTGTCTTCCTGAGCGAAGAAGTATGGCGCTGCGGCAAAACTCCTCTCCCTGACTGACAATCAGTTTCCTTCTCCCCCTAACACGCAGAAGCCTCCTTCGATACTTGTCACGCTTGTCACGGCCTACACGAATGGGTCCTGCTCGAACTCGAACAACCATGTAGTTTCTGCAGACAACCCCGCTGAATGGGGATTTGCCGTCACCAGCTTTCTTGTTTGTGAATTCTCTTTTGGCCCGGATCGCACCTCCCCTACCGACACCCAGGTTCTCCTAGAAGTCTGGGGGCTAAATAATGCAGGCGAGCTCAAGGCTCTTACCGACCTCTGTGATTATCTCCTTTACTCTTCTACACCTCTCTCTGATATCATTGTGTATACTGTATACCGACTCCGAATATGCCCTTCGTCTTTTGGAGGGCGATTCACTTCCCACTGCACACCATCAACTTGTTCTCCTTGCACGGCAATACCACACCGCCCTTCGCACATCTTCGCACGATGCAGTATGTTTCGCTCCGTCAAGTTGCAGGACATGCTGGTGTTATAGGCAACGAGCTCGCTGATTTCATCGTGCTAAACAAGGAGTCACTCAATACGGCTCTCTCTGGGCCGGTTTTCATTCTCTCGCACCGCGGCTTTGTCCTCCCGGAAATGGGATATTCCTCTGACTTCCGCCGGATGCTCAGAATAAATGCTTGGTTGATCTCATTTCTTCCCACCTTCCTCTCATCTCCAATCTCCCTGTCTCTACACTCTACCAAGAAGCCAGGGATCCTCCCTTCCACTTTGGAAAATTTTCATTCAGTATCAGACTCACACTGACCTCACAGGACCCAGAGGTTACACGGCACCGCGACAACAAATTAAGAAACTGGCTCGGAAGAGATAAGAAACAGTTCACTTTTTCCTTGTCTCTTCAGTTTTGTACTCACTCACCTTCTTCGAGGACGTTGAATGGGAAAAAGAATACGCCCATAGTCTTATCTTTGGTGTCCTGCGTCTGGGTTTATTTTGCAATTTTGGCGCCTCGAGTACGCTGATGACGCAGTGTTACTCTCTAACTCTGGCATACAGGTACACCTGCTATTGAGACAAAAACATGGGGCCGTACTGGGGGCTCCACCTCAACTACGATACGTGTGATGTGATCACTTGTAATTCGGAAAACTACGTGCAGATCGATCCGTTGTATCTTTTTGAAGAAGTGGATGACTTACGCCGATGTAGTTAAGCGTTTGGGCATTTGCCCCTTGATGTTAGTTCTAATCACCACAAGAATGTTTCGACCAGAATCTCACGGGCCATGGAAACATCCAAGAAGCTCGCCCCTCTTTTGAAACATGGTCTCCTCCCCTCTAATCGGAAGCTCTTGGTGTGCAGACCCGTCGTCCAATCTATACTCATGTAGGCTATCGATAGCACTCTCTGACACCCAGTCAGTTGACCAAATTGAACACAGTTCATTTAAGTGCATCCACCAATTTTTTCACATTGAGTCTGCCTGCCACCATAGAGTACTTAACCCCTCGTCGCCCAGTGCTCCAACCAATACCTGGCAGATTTGGCCTTCAACTCCCGTCGTGTCGAATTTCCCTCTCAGATCTATTCCGAGAATCAGTCACCTTAGTGGGACACTTTGTATAGGCACCCGGAGTCAATGGAGACAGAAACCACTTTTATGACGTCGGCGGCTTACAAACATACTTGTGGGCCTAATCGAGTGGGTCGACTAGAGCCACACACTGGTCAGAATCACGCCTGGTTGAGGCCTTTCAGAAAATTGACCACCTCTTTTCGGACCCGAGCCACCGAATCACTCACACATCGAGCACAGTTTTTACTCCATCCATTTAGGGAAGTGCATTCCTCGCAGTCTCTTGTTTGGATGGACAATACGCCGCTGTACGGCACAATCTCCGGAGTTGCCAGAAACAGAGCCTCTTGGTTGGGGGTTGTTAATACGCCTAGTCGCAAAACTGTAAGGCGCTTTGGACAGTTCGGTGTTAACGGCACCTTTACACCTTTTCGTTGGACCTTGCGCTTGCGGCAAAAGCAACTTACATTTCCTGGCGCAACAGCCGGACGTAGCCGGGCTGTAAAACCAAACGCAGGGCGTATTTAAGAGGCCTCCCTCCCGACTATTTTTGGATGGCTTGATTAACATGTTACCCATGACCTTTTGTTCGGTAGATCGAAGCCTTGGATTGTCTTGGGGCCTGGGTGGCTTTGACTAACTTAGAAGGGTTTTGGGTCCGAGGGGTTTGGGGGGTGGGTTTGGTTCTTGGTTGGTGTGAGTAAAAGGATTGGGGAGGGTTCAGTAGGTTTCGGTACTTAAGAAAAAGGGGCTTGGTAGGTTTGGTTGTGTGCCAGGTTTCTTGAAAGCTCTCGATGGGCTCCAGCATGGTTGCAGTGGACGTCATTGCTGTATCAGCTTTTAACCAGCGCTCTGATCGTGGCATTGCCCCTTGTCCAGCAGTGTGAGCTTATGGTAAGAAGGCGCATTCTGTCAGGATCATCTTGGGTTATAGGGCTGCGTTCTACGGGGAGGATTTGCTCGATTGCCAGCTGCTGCCAGTTGCTGCCAAGAATTTGTGCATTGGTTTTCGTTGAAGCCCTCGCAGATGTCCAAAGTTGTTCGAAGCAATCGCACAGAGTGCCTGCCGGCAGCACACACAGGTCAAACGGCACCGAGCATCGCAGCGTTTTTTCACTACCTGCTGCAGCGAAGCATGGGTTCACGCACTGCCTGCCTAGAACAGAGGCTTTTTCCGGCAGTTTCTGCACACGGCAGCACTTAGATAACGAGAGCAGCCACTGTTGCCTCTTCACTATGAGGTTTGCGGTGGATTGCCGCACCATGAGCGAGGAGACTACAGAAGTCTACCACAATATGGAGATTTGCGCAACAATCATCTTCACAGTGGAGTATGCTCTGTGCCTTTTCGAAGACTAAGACCATGTCATGTGGCATGTGTATGAAGCCATCCTGTTACTAGTGTTATGGGCACCCTTTGCTGTCTCGTGCAAGGCGCTTCTACAGCTGCATAGAATCGGTACAAGATGCTGAGCAGCTCAGTGTGTCAGCACGTTGGAGAAGGCGGATATGCTTGATGACAAGTGCAGCCTGTCTTATCGACGTGGTCTCCTTGATTTCTCTATTCTTGGATGTCTGCATCACGTCCAACATATTCCGAGGGGTGGTGTCGATTCGACTGCTCCGACTTTTCACTCTTTTCCGATTGGAGCGGAAGCACAAGTTCTTGTCGCCGATTGTGACGGTGATATCAAACAAGCGTAGAGAGCTGGGAGCCACGCTTGGTGTCGCTGGTCTTGTTCTGCTGATCTCAGCAACCTTAATGTACTATGTTGAGTCTGGCGTCAATGCCAAGTTTAGCAGCATTTTAGCATCGATGTGGTGGGGCACTGCAACACTTACCACTGTGGGATATGGCGACATTGTGCCGATAACGCCTCTGGGTCGCTGTCTGGGCAGTCTGGTTGCCTTTATTGGTGTTGGTCTTTTCGGCCTGCCGGCGGGCATTATCGCTTCTGGCTTTGCAGATGCTCACCGAGCGAAATCGCTTGCATCTCGACGGCATCGATGCAGGTTTCATCAAAAGTTCCTCTTCGTTGTCCGAGTCTTTGTGTAATTTATTGTCAGCTTGTTGGCCCGAGGAGCTTCGTCACAACAGCGCAGATCATTTGGAAGCTCGGATGACTCGCATGATGAGCGTTCAAAGCGAGGTTCTTGCAGAGCTTCAGTCCCTGCGCACTCAGATGGACAGCATGCTAGCCGATCAGCAACGAGTGCTCACACTGCTCGGGGCACAGAAAGCCCAACAGATGGGTGGCTAGAGAAGGCCGGAGACTGTCTGGCGATGACGTGTGCTGTGGTCTCAGGGATTCTCACGACGACCTTGACCTTTCCAAGTGGACATGGACTCTCGAAGTCAACTCGTGGAAGCGCTTCGACGCGCTTCATGCTTCGCACGCTGGGGCAACTTGCCAGAGCCCGTCGTGCCGGGTGTTCATGCGTAGTTGCAGCGCCGAGCCGCAAAAGAGAGGCGGTTGCCAGGAAGCGGATGTAAAGGTTTCTGAGAAGTTTAAACATGGACCCATGTGTCTTTGCAGAGGCTCGCGATGAGTACCTAAAGCACAAGAGCAAGGAGCAGCAACTCCTGAAGCTGAAGGAGCCCAGACTGAGGCAGCAATTGCATGTTCGGCAGATTCCGAGCACAGCTAGGAGCTTCTCGAGAAGGCTGCCTTCCTGCGCAGCGAGGCAGAGGCTGCGACTTTGAGCATCTTCTCGGCCATGCCCATGAAATTGCAGAATTGGCTGTTGCAGGTGCAGTCCCAACTGGAGACGGGTTCAGCCCGTGTCCTAAGCAATCGGAGAGGGCAGCATTTTTTCTTTCGGCCCAGGCCACCGGTCGCGAAGTGCTGTTGCAGGTGGTTTGCATCGACACTGTGAAAGACTCCCTGCGAAGGGGCGTCTGGGTGCCACCCAGGTGCGCGCTGTAGACGTCGAAAGGTCGTCAGGGTCAGAGAGCATGTCTGGTTTGCAGGGAGCTCCGTCCAAGTCTCTTCAAGATGCTGCAGCGCCGCCCTGGTGTCAAGGCATAGCGGGAGCATGTGCGCCATTGCACGGAGAGAATTCTGCAGGCAGTTTTCTTGTGGTGCAGGGGATGGAGCGGCTTCAGACCATGAAGAGGAGACCAGCCGAGGCCCTCCGCTCTCGGCCCTCCACCTTTCTGCCGCACTGCTCCCTGCCAGGTCCTCTTCGACGGCAAGGGCGGAATCCTCAAGAACCTGGACGCAGCACTTGACACTGTCGCGGAATTCCTTGGCCGAAACGGCTGGGTGGCGTGTGAGTTGGGAGCTCATCAAAGCCTGATGGCAAGAGCCCTAGAGGAGGCGAAATCTCTGAAACCTCGCATGTCCTGTGGTACCACGGTGATCCAGAATGAGATCATCGATCCGACGACACCAAATGCAGACAGGGAGGACAAGGTCCTTTTCCTGCAAGAACAGGGACTCAGTGGTCCCAGTGCAGCCAAGGGCCCTGCGCCAACACTGGCCTTGCTTGAAAGCGCCGTCATCGACATTGTCATGCATCTAGATCCCCGGCTGCAGAGAAGTGGGCTTCGGCTGCGAATCACCGAGCGTTGTGATGGAATGCTCTCGAATTACGAGAAAGGTGGTGCTTACAGTGCACACATTGACAATGCGGATGGTGATGGACGCGTTGATGGGCGAGTGCTGACTGCAGTCTTGTACCTCAACGTGGGATGGGACAGGTACGCTGGTGGTGAACTTGCTATATTTCAGCCAGATCACGGAGACATTGGCGATGCAAATTGCAACGGCAAGTGGAACATGATCTACCCGGAAGCGGGTACCCTGGTCTTCCTCCGCGCAGATCATGTGCTGCACGAAGTCAGGGGAGCCCATGCAGAGCGCTATGCACTGAGCGTGTGGTTTTGCGGGCAGCATGCCGACTATGGCGGCTCTTAGAGCTTGGCTGCCATAGGTTTGACATCTCTGAGCTGTTTCGAAGCACAGAGAAAGCGTGCACTTCACCCACGAGCAGATCGAGGACTCGCAGCAACCATAAGGGCACCGTGGACCACTTGACCGTCAGATGCAAGCCGTCCGGAGTTGAGTGACGCAAAAGTTCAGTGCTTTATGAACGCGTCGTGGTTGGGCACAAGTCCCTGATGTTATGTTATGCTCTGTGACCAGACAGGCTCCCGTGGCTTTCGCCCTGCCGATTCGAGACAGATGTGCAAAAAGCAAGGCAGGAATTACTCCAAATCTTCGGAAAGTAATCGTGCACAGCTGCTTTCGTGGTCAGGGGACACGGGTTGGATTTTGGGGTACGATCCTGCATCGTCGATCAAGCACTACGGATTGTTTGTCCTTACCAGCTAGCGCCGTTACCTCAGGCGAAAAACAGCACAAGCATTTGTGCATCGGAGCATCGAGTGGCTGAGTTGAGCAGGGCTTAGTACTAGCAATGCACCTAGTTTGGTAGAGCACTGCCCGGATTCACGCCCACATTGCGGGACAGGGGTTTCGTGCACGGCTCCCAAATCTCCACGGCGTTGACCTCTCTGCACATCTTCGCAGTCCTGTGGTCGTGGAGAGCATTGCCTCGAATGTATTGAATGCTTCTGCACCGATCGCAGGGTGGAGTCGGATCCGTGACCATTTTCCGATGTGGGGCTTGGTCCTGATGCAGCCCTGCCGGCGCTGGCACATGCTGGCGCCTGCCCCTCGAGCTGCCTGGACGGAGGACGCGGCTCGTGGCTCGTGCTTCTCCGCCCAGCTGCGCACTCGTCTCCGAACACCTCGCTTGCGTGACAGGCTGCAGCTTGATGCCGACTTGCTTTCGGGTTAGCTCTTAGCGGACTTTTGGAGTGTGTTTTGAAGGGGCCGTTATTTCCTGTGCGCGTTTAAAGTTTAAGGTTTCCTGATTTCTTCACCTTGTTCAGCACCCATCAGCGCTTGTCAGAATTTTGGGGCTTTGGAACCAATGGCCCCTTCGTGGGCAGCGCAAGCCGCCGACCACCTCGCTGCTCAAGGCTGCCACGTCCCCGCGTGGGATAGCCCAGAGCCAGCGCCGGCACACGTCCACGACCAGGCCGGGCACCGTCTCCGAGGCTGGCAGCGGCACGCCGCCCGCGCTTGTGACCAGCGCGCGTGCGAGACGCATTTCGCCAACTTACCTTCCGCGTCCCGTGCGCTGC